CAGTCCAACAGTATCAGGGACTGAGAGAGAGATTTTACGATCTGAATCACACACTCTGGAATCATAAAGGCCACTGCACTCCTGAAATCCCACACATGCTATCCACGTTCAGGAGTCAGGATCCTTGGGGGAGGATAATATTAATAATCATCATCATAGAATGGTTTGGTTGGAAGGGACCTTAAAGCCCACCCAGTTCCAATCCCCCTGCCATGAGCAGGGACACCTCCCACCAGACCAGGTTGCTCACAGCCCCATCCAGCCTGGCCTTGAACACTGCCAGGGATGGGGCAGCCACAGCTTCTCTGGGCAACCTCTGCCACTGCCTCACCACCCTCACTGGGAAGAATTTCTTCCTAATATCTCATCTAAATCTTCCATCTTCCAGTTTAAAGCCATTGCCCCTTGTCCTGTCACTCCATGCCCTTGTAAAAAGTCCTTCTCCAGCTTTCTTGTCGCCCCCCTTTAGGTACGGGAAGGCTGCTCTGAGGTCTGCCTGGAGCCTTCTCTTCTCCAGGCTGAACAACCCCAACTCTCTCAGCCTGTCCCCACAGCAGAGGTGCTCCAGCCCTCTGCTATAATAATAACAACAACAATACCAATAACAGCAGCAGCAAAGAGAAAATTCCTGCAAGAAATAAGAGATCTTCTCACTAATTACTAGGCCCAACAGAAGACTAAAGAGGGGACACAGGTTTAACAGTCAGGTTTAACAGGAAACTAAAGAGAGGACAAAGAGGGGACAAAGTTTTAACAGTCAGCCCCGAAAATCAGTAGCTTCAAATCAGGCTCTGTAACTCCAAAAGCTCAGCACCTCCAGGACGGTGAGTAACACAAAGAAACCACAGACCTGTAACCTGCTTAGTCCCCACTAAGCCAGGCTTTGCCTCTCTTTCCATGACAGGGGAGCTCCTGAAAGGCTTTGGATCCCACGCTCGGGTGTCTGTCTGCCAAAACCTGAAAATAAACAGCATGACTTGATTATCAAAATGCAGCAGTACAACTTCATGTACTACACGCGCTCCCAGCGTCATTCGGGGGTTTTGTGAAACTCACAGGGGCAGGTTTTCACCCCATCCAGCAGCCGGCTGCTGTAACAGGAGCACGAACACCTCCTCCTCTGGCTTTTGAGCCCAGTTTAAGGTGTTAACCCAAAAATTGCAATGCCGAGGGCTAAACTCAATATTTCTGGAGTCTCCTGAAAATGCAAAATTAAAGGGTAAGAATGAAAACATACTTCCCCCCTCCCCTCAGAAAGGAAAGCAGCACTGCAGTCTGCCAAGCCCCAGGGGCCTGCATCAAACACCCAAGCAGCAACTAAACCCTAAACTACCCCCCAAAATTGTACGATAAGTGATTTTATACCGACCAGCGATAATTTAGGGGGAAAAAAAACCCCGAGTTTTTGTTAACACCTCCGAGAGCTGGAGGGGCAGAAGCCGGCGGGACGGCCCAGCTCTGCCCGCGGCTCTTCACCCCCTGAAGGCCGAGCCGGGAGCCGGCGGCCGCAGAACCGCGGGCCCGGGAACCCCGGG